GGGCATCGAGGATTTGCCCCCGGTCGGTCCCCTGGCCTCCAAAAATAAGAAGAAGTCATCTATGAAGAAGTACTCTGCCAAAAGCAGGGCGTATGGTGATTCAAGACAGTCTGCGGCTGGTCTATGCCGAAGGCTGGATGCTGATCTGGGCATGGCCTCGGGTCCTTCCTCCGCTGTGGTGTCTCCCTGCCGTGCCCGCCCTGCGCCGTTGCGCTCGCCGACGTCCACGGCTCGCAAGAGTGGTCGTGTATCCAACAGTGGCGAGCGGGTCGCTGATCGGGCCGCTCGGCGTGCGGCGGCTCGGGATCTGCCTCCTTCAAGTGCATGTCCATGCCCCTCCCCTCCGATCCCCTCCGTTCTTTCTCTGGTTCGGGTAGTGCTTCAGTCTCAATCCGATGATCATTTGCTTTGCATATTAGAAGATGTTGGTATTTCTTTTGATGCTAGTTTGGGTTCTCCTTCTTCCTTGCTTGGTATAATTAGGTCAAACGAATTAGCCCAGGCTGACATTGCTAAAGACAAGGAGGCTAGGTTGGACTCTTCTTCCCCACTGGTTGTGGCCGGTGGGGATGGGGTGGGAGCTGATAGGGGTCAGGCTCCCGCGGCTGTATCTAAGTGTGGGGCGGGTAAACGTGCCAAATCTTGCATGGCTCCTAGCAGGTCGAGCCTTCGCATTAAAAACCTCTCTTTCAGATGAAGGCTCTATTCTGGAATATTAGGGGTTTCAGCACCAGGGGGCGCAGAGACCAGCTAAAAGATATGGTTCATACTGAAAATATTGATATTATTGGTCTAGTTGAGACTCTCAAACCTTCCTTCTCCCCAAATGAGCTCTCTGCTGTTTCTGGGATCGATAGATTTGATTGGAATTTTGTGGCCTCTGTTGGGCATTCGGGGGGCATTCTCCTTGGCACCAAGAAAGACATGTTCGATTTTGTAGCTTTTGACCATGGGATTTATTGGGCTAGCATGGTGGTGTCTCACCGTTCCCTCAACTCTTTACTAGAGATCATGGTGGTTTATGGTCCAGCTGACCACTCTTTGTCTTATATCTTCATGGACGAACTTCGGAATAAATTAGATGCCTGTCAACTGCCTTTACTTATTGGGGGAGACTTTAACCTGATGCGCTACCCTTCGGACAAGAGCTCCTCTAACTTCTCGTGGCCGTTGGCCAACGCTTTTAATGCTTTTATCAGAGACACGGCGATCCGCGAAATCCCTAGGGTTGGGGCCCGTTTCACATGGACGAATCACCAAACCTCTCCCATCCGATATGTCCTCGATCGAGTTTTCTTTTGTTCTAGATAGGACTCGATGTTTCCTCGTGCCATCCTTAGATCCCTAGCCATAGTGGGTTCGGACCACTCACCTCTTATTCTTGATGATGGTAATCGTGTGTTGTCATTTCCAAGGTTTCAGTTTGATGCCTCCTGGCTCCTAGTGGAGGGTTTTTGCTAATTTGATGGCACAAAAAAATTCGACTTTCCTGTCTTCTCACCGTTGCTCCTTTGGCCCGATGGACGACTGGCATCAGTGTTCCTATTTTCTCCGTAAATTTCTCCGTGGGTGGTCTAAAAATTACTCTGCTGAGTCAAGGCATGACAAAGCTAGGCTGGTTGCTCAAATCGGCGCGCTTGATACTCGTGCAGACGGCACTGGCCTCTCCCCCGCCGAGTGGCATATCTGGTACGGCCTTGAAGAGGCCCTGTTGGATATCCATCGTCAGGAGGAGATTTATTGGAAGCAAAGAGGCACTATTAACTGGACTTTAAAGGGCGACTCTCCCACGTCCTACTTTGCTATCGCGAATGGTAGGCGTCGACGCTGCTGGATTGATAGTCTCCTTATTGATGGTGTTAGAGTCTTTGATCAACCTGCGATTATGCAACACGTGGTCCACTTCTTCTCCACTCTCCTCTCCGCCAGACATGAGGTGGGGTTTAGGCTGGCTTCCTCCTTCTGGTCCCCCCTCGATCAGATTTCGAACGATGAGAACAAGGGATTGATGATCCCTCCTTCTGAAGAGGAGGTTTTTGAAGCGATTCGCTCTGCCAACTCTAACGCGGCCTCTGGGCCTGATGGCTTCTCCATTCCTTTCTTCCGGCAATTCTGGCCGTAGTTAAAAGGCCTCATTTTGGCGATTATCCAAGGCTTCTGGTTGGACACGGTTGACATTTCCAGACTGAACTACGCGGTGCTCACTCTCATTCCTAAAATCAAAGGGGCCGATCTGATTACCCAATTCAGGCGCATCGCCCTTATCAACAATTTTGCGAAGCTTCCGGCCAAGGGGTTGGCTACCAGGCTTTCTTCGATCGCCCATCGTGTCATCAGTCCTTTCCAATCTACTTTTATAAAAAGTAGATTCATTCTTGATGGTATCATTTGCTTACATGAGATCGTCCATGACTTGCGTTCCAAGGGGACCAAGGCAGTGGTTCTTAAACTGGACTTCGAGAAGGCTTACGACTCTGTGAGCTGGGATTTCCTTCGCCAAGTTCTTCTAGCTAAAGGCTTTGAGGGTGCGGTGGTTCATCGTTTGATGTAGATGGTATCGGGAGGCCATACGACTGTATCGGTCAATGGGCATATTAGCAATTTCTTTGCCAACGGCAGAGGCCTTAGACAAGGCGATCCGGCTTCCCCTCTGTTCTTTAACTTCGTTGCGGATGCTCTCTCTCACATCCTTACTCGGGCAGCACTGGCTGGTCACATCTTGCCTGTTAGCTCTCACCTGATTCCCAACGGCATCACTCATCTTCAATATGCGGACGACACTATTATTATGGTTGAACTTGATGAGGCTAGCCTCACACACCTGAAATTCCTCCTCCTGTGCTTCGAAGCGTTATCTAGCCTTAAAATCAACTTTTCAAAGAGCAAAGTTATTGTGACTGGGGTCTCTGATTCTGAAGCCCAGAGAGTGGCACATCTTATGAATTGTTCCCTTGGCTCGTTCCCTTTAAAAATACTTGGGCCTCCCCATATCCCCTCTTAAGCTATTGGCTAAGGATTTTGCTCCAATTGTGACCAAAGTAGGGAACATGGTTCTGCCGTGGAGAGGTCGCTATAATTCTCAGGCGGGCAAGGTTGCCCTTACTAATGCATGTCTATCCTCCCTCCCAATGTTTCTAATGGGCTTTTATCTCCTGTCTGGAGGGATTCATGCTGGTTTCGATAAGCACGGGGGGGCCTTTTACTGGAACGCTTCTGACAACAAACGCAAATACAGGATGGTTAAATGGGATCTCATTTGTAGGCCTAAGAACATGGGGGGCTTAGGTATCATTAATACGGTGGTCATGAACAAGTGCCTCATGATAAAGTGGTGGTGGAAAATTATGTCTCTTGAGGAGCGCCCCCTCTGGCTATCTTTTCTCAAAGCTAAATATTTCCCTACCTCGAGCCCCATGCTTGCCTCATCCTCGGGTGGTTCTCAGTTTTGGCGCCAGCTTGTTAAAGTCCGCCTGATTTTTCAGTCCCTCGTTAAGTTTGTAGTTAGGAATGGCAAGTCCACTCGCTTTTGGTTAGATTGGTGGGTAGGTGACACCACCCTCGCGGTGCTCCAGAGATATCTATCTTTGAGCTCTCGGTTAACAATTGGGACCTTAACTTCCGGCGATCCCTTTCTCCTGCGGAGTTGGATGACTGGCAACGTCTTACTGCCTGCTTTCCCTTGCTCTAGGAGGAAGATGATTCGGTAGTTTGGCCTCACTCCTCCTCTGGTCGTTTTTCAGTCAAGTATGCGTACGCCAAACTTATCTCTGGCGCCCATACAGTGAAATTCAAGGATATCTGGTTGACCCGCATTCCTCCTAAGATCAAGATTTTCATGTGGCAAGCTTTACGTCGTAAATTACCTGCGGCTAATCAGATTAGGAAGAGGAACGGACCGGGTTATGATAGATGCGCTTTATGTGGGGCTGTTGAAAACACTGAGCACATTTTCGTTCATTGCTCGCTGGCCAAATTTCTTTGGAGCTGTATTAGACATTGGCTTCATGTTAACTGGAATCCATCTTCCTTCGAGGATTTGCGGCGGTGCCTTAATTCTTTATCGGTTCGGTCTAAGAGGGTAGTCTGGGTTGGTTGGGCAGCGATTTGTTGGTCGCTGTAGACTACTAGGAACAACTTTACTATTGAACATATCTTCCCGGCTAACCCTGTAAGCTGCCTATTTAAAGCCAACGTCTTTTTGTAGCAGTGGAGATTATTAACTAAAGAAGTGGACCTTGAGGCGTTCGACGACATGCTATCTATGATGAGATCTACGGCTTCCTCCCTGCTGCGGCGATCTAGGGCGATGGCTTAGTTTATTGCTCTTTTGGGTTCTAGGTTGACCTACGTGCCTCGGCTGGCTTGGTTGTCATGTATCGTACTTCTTAAATGCTCCTTTCTGTTGTGATGTCTGAATGGTTGTGTCGTGACTATGCTTGTTGGCTTTATTTATAAAGTCGGGCCGATGACTTTTCTCTAAAAAAAAAATCTCAAAGAATGTATAAATTGGAATGCATCATCTACCCAGTTATGCGATCGATTGTGTTGACGGTACTTGTTCATGTACAATACTGCCCATTTAATAAACCGCTTTTTAGTTATCCCAAATTGATGTAATCTACAACTATTTTTCCCTCCTGATGAAATCAACACGATAGCCATAGAGCCCTAGGTGCAAACGGAATCAATTCAATCAGAGCAGTGAGAGAAAACAACATCAGCACCAGAATGAGACCAAAAAACGACTGCTTTAACGTCAACAGTAATAACAAATGTGACTTTCTTAACTACACATAAGAATGTTGCTTGTCAAGCATCAAAGATGTACACAACCGAGCACCTGTCCTGGGAGCAATGTGTATATACAGAGACGGCAGACTTTACACACAAGGCACACTACACACTTGGGAGGGATGAAAGAAAGAAGGAAGCAAGCAAGCAACCACGGATGAACACTTCATTCACTCTTGCTCCATTTGTGAACTAGGAACGTTTTTACTTCAGGCCCCGAAGCATCCCATGACTTTCTTGGGAGAGTGGCCGGTGGCGCGGTACTTGGCGGCCATCTCCTCGGCCTTGAGGAGCTCCTCCCCTTTCTTTGCCTCGACCATCGCTCTCTTCTCTTCGGCCTCCTTGTGGATCATTGCAGCCTTGTTCTTCATCTTCTCGGCGTATTCCGCCTTCTTCTTTTCCAATTGCTCCTGAATGTGTGCACAGTTACAAGATTTAGTTTGCGGGATGGCACATGAAGAGAGAGCGCAATGTTCAGAATTGCAGATGGATATTCACAACTGTACAGTAACGGGCTTCATCCTTTGATGTAATAATATGCAAAGAATGGTAATGATGAAAGTACCTCAATCTTCTTCAGTTGAGCTTCTATGTTTGCTTTCTTGGTGTTCTCCCATGAGAGAATAGCGGACACCTTTTTAGTAGCCCTGTGATATTGATGTGAATCAAGATTAGGAAATTTTACATCATCTACTTAATGAACGTGTTCAACAACATAATTTAGCTATAAGTATACAAGTTCTTCATTTTCTTCAAAATGACATAGTAGCTTCTTTCATGATATCTGTTGGCAGTTGCGCTGTAGGTGTTCTTATTATTGTCTGAATTAGACGGGGTTGACATGTCCCAGTGTCTTGGGAGTAAGACTACACATATTACTAACATGAAGCTTCATATACAGGCTCTGTTTCCTAGTGGCTGAAGGGCCGCTTTGAGATATGTACATGCACATCCAATATAACAGATTAGTGATAAATCTACCATACCATTAAAAAAAGCATATACTAGTTTATGAATGGATAAGTATAAATACTCCCTCCGTCCGGAAATACTTGTCATCAAAATGAATAAAAGGGGATGTATCTAGATGTATATTAGTTCTAGATACATCCCTTTTTATCCATTTTGATGACAAGTATTTTCGGACGGAGGGAGTAGTAATATACTTGTTCTCAGCCTTCGTCTTCTCATTCTCCTCCCATGCTTTAATTAAAGAGTTCCTCTTCTCACTTTCCACCCTTGCAAGAGCGAGGTCTGCATAGCGGGTTTTCAGGTAGTTTGTCAGCTTAGTTGTACTCTATGATAAGAAGAGAATTCAAATTATTCAATAATTACCTCTGTCATTTGAGCCGCCGTGTGCAGCCTTCTCATCTGTGGGTTTCTCAGCAACAGGTTCATCTGCAACCTCTGGTAAGCAGAAAACGTAGAAGTACTTTATGAACAAGAGTTGTAACGTCACTATTTGATATGAGAGTAATCAAGCAGTAAGATCTGTCTGTATAATGTTAAACAATTTTTAGCACCCATTTGTGTCACGAGCATTACATAATCCGTGGACTTCAGAAGTTAACTTTGAGCGTGTCCTTTGGTACTAAGATCTTATATAATGGTGATTTGTGTTAAGACTTACTCCCTCCGTCCGAAAAAGTTTGTCCCTCAAATTGATGTATCTAGCACTAAGTTAGTGCTAGATACATCCATTTAAGGAACAAGCTTTGGACAAGCTTTTTCGGACGGAGGGAGTATCTTATACTTTGAGCTTCTCCAACCACATACGCAAACAGAGCAAGATAGAAAGCCACTACATCCCTTCTGGATAAAGAAATGGCTACGCAATGACATACACACTAAACTTTCAGCATCCAATGCACAGTTTTATGAATATCCTTGACTCACACTCCTGCATGGTCATAATTCTGAGGAGTACCAGGTGCACATTTTTATGATTAAAAGCTCGTTGCTAATTAGCCCTGCAGTTTCTTCTAATTTTGCTATTTATTCGCATTGTGTTTGGTTTTTTCGAGGGAAGGGGAGCATGCTGTCATTGAGTGCCAAACCAGAGAACTGTCATAGACAGGTATACTTGCTTCATGATTATCCATTTCAAAACAGTAATACGGTCCGACCATATGTTGAATTTCCATGGGATCAACCTATAGACGTTCTTTCACCAGGAAAACTGAACGATCTTTTCCAACTATGCAAGCAACTGAACTACTGAACATTTATAGCATAGTAGTGCATCTATCATCTATCATCTATGACAGGTTTCCATACCCCCCGCGTCGTCCGCTCCGGGCGACTCGGGGGCGATACCCTAGCCGCCCCCAGGTTTCCCCCGCCTCTCCTCCTCCTCCCCCGCCGCCGCCGGCAGCCGCCCCCGCGGCAGTAGGCGGCGGCGGGGCTTCCCCGCGCACCCGCCTCGACGTGGAGACGCCCCCTTCCCGCATCAGACGCCGCCGCCCGCCTCCTCAACTCCTGGTGGCCGCCGAACTGCCAGATCAGGCCGGAGCGGCCCTGGATCGGGGCTGGCTCCTCTCTGGCGGCTGGTGGGCCGGGGATCGCCGGATCCGCCCGGATCTGGCCGGCGCGGCCCTGCTTCGTCGCCCGGCTAGGGTGTTCGCGGCGTGGTCTCCCTGGTGGCGGCGATGTGGGTCGTTCTCCGTGTCTTGATGGGATGTGCGCGGTGGGTGGATGCCGGGGCGGCGGCCTCGGACGGCGTGGACGGCGTGGCCTCTTGACGGGCGACGGCCGTGGGAGCTGGTGGTCCGCGACTTCGGCTGTGCGGGCGGCGAGGTCTCGGTGGACGTCTACTACGGTGGGTCGGGGTGCCCCGTCACCCGGCGTGCCTGCTACGATGAAGTCCGATGCCTTCTCCGGCTGCGGGCGCTCCCCTGGCCAGGTCTTTGGCCGGGTGGTTGGGACGGGGGCGGGATCGGGGGAAACCCTTGGCCGTCGGCGGAGGCCACGACAATGGCGGCGCCTTGTGGGCGTCGGTTCCCTTCTTGGAGGCCTTGTCGAGGTCCTATCCCGTCTCTCACTGTGCTCTTCATTTGGGCGAAAGCTCTAGGTCCCCTTGCGGGCGACGGCGTCGTCCCTTCGTCGCGCTCCTTCTTGAAGGCGTCGCCTGGGGTCCCCGGAAGCACGGTGGGCGCTTCGTGGTGCGTGTGAGGTGTTTGGCGGCGGCAATGTGTGCGGCGATTTATCTATTCTACCGCTGATCTTCGTCCTGTGGTAGCGCTCCATCTGCTTGGTGATGTTCTACCGTAGGTGGTGGTCGTCATTTGGCGTCATGGTGGCGTTGATGGCGGAGGGCCTGCCAAGGATGGCACCTCAATCTGCTTGGAGATGGACCAGTGGAAGATGGTGGAGACGACACCTGTGAGTGCGTCAGACCGGTTTATGCCCCAGACCCGGTATGTGGCTAGGCTAGGGATTCCGGCTTTCGATGTTAGGTTTAGGTGAGTGGTCTGGGTAGGGGCCCAGCTAGCACCCCTTCATCATATGGATAGGAGTAGCGGCATATGTTGCCTAGTTGGTGGATTCAGGCTTATTGTTGTAACACTTTGTAAGGTCCTCAGGAATAATCAATAAAGTGGCCGTATGCATCTTCCAGATGCAGAGGCCGGGGGTCATCCTCCTTTTCTAAAAAAAAATAAAAATCTATGATGACTTAGAGCCGCAACAGAAAGCAACTGCCTGCCTGTCCCAAACTACAATATGTCATTTTAAATACAAAATAGCTTTATTCCTTTGCAAAGAAGATATGACAGTTAGTGAGTGCGCGTGTACTGGTTTTATCTGTTACTGAGTGCGCTCGTACTGGTTTTTATCTGTTCTAAACCCAAACACTAATTACTACCAATGTACTACAACACTATCTGCATGGTTGAAGAAATATGTAATGAACATGCAGACACAGAAGTCACATAGCTCGGAAAAGGTTGTTCTTCATGTGCCTTTTGTTTCTGATTGGTTCCTTTTCCCCAGCATAACATTTTGGACACTTTCTAGGGTGTTAAAGTGAAACTGAGATTCCTCCAAAATAGGAAGGATGGATAAGGGTGGGAGGAAGAGAGAAGGGAGAGCAGAGGCAGAAAGAGGACAAAGCTATATGGGAGGGAGTGAGGAATTCAGGAAAGTTCCAGTAACTATCTTTTCTGAACTCCAACCCAAAACACATACATAGTACTCCCTCAGTTCGAAAATACTTGTCGGAGGAATGGATGTATCTAGACGTATTTTAGTTTTAGATACATCCATTTTTATGCGTTTTTCCGACAAGTATTTCTGAACGGAGGGAGTATTTTGAGTGAAGCTACACATGGCCAGCATCTCTATTTTTGTTTCGTCCAAAACTCTGCGGCACTAGAAACAAATTAATTTGCAACCATGGTTGAATCCACTGTTTTTTTCATAACAAAAACATTTAGAAAGCAGGAAAAAAATTCAGACAGACATTTGGGATATTTGTCAGAGCTGTTTGCGGCACCAACCAAGTGCTAATATACTCGCAAGCAGACAATTCAGGAAAAAAAAAACACATAAGCGGAAGGGACTCAAACCGGCCAAACCACAAACCAAATATCAATTGCAGCTAAAACGAACAATTCCTGTGCACATATAACTAAAATTATCGAATTAATGATACTCTAGGTGTAACAACGGGAGCAATAATCGTGCCAGGAAAAGTAAGTAAAGGAAGGGAAAGAAAAGGCAAGGCAAAATAATATCCCAGGATCATGGGTACTTCAACCTAGTACTGCCACCACTGTTCATCTCCTAGTAACACGAGAAAAAGTTACTCGCTCCTACTACTAGATCCTAGCACGCCCACCCCTCTTTCCATCATTCAACCACAAGCCGGCCGGCCTTGCCGAAACAAGAGCAAATTTGACTGAAACAGTAGCAAGAAACAGCAGAAAGCAAGCGGCGGGCGACTCACTCTCGACGACGACGAGGGCCTTGGAGTCATCGGCGGGCGGCTTCTCCTCCTCGGCGGCCGGCGCGGGCGCGGGGATGACGGCCTTCTCCTCGGTGACGTCCTTGGCGGGGGCCTCGGGCTCCGCGGCAGGGACGGCTGGCGGTGCGGCCTCCGGCTCCGGCGCCGCCTCCACCTCCACCTTCTTGGGCTCCTCCGCGGCCATGGATGGTGCTGCTAGCTCTGTACGTGGTACGTCTGGTGGTGGGCGAGCTGAGCTTAGCTGGGCTGTTGCTGTTGGCGCAGCTGTTGGTGTCGTGGGACTGTGGGAGAGGGAGAGGGTGGGGGCGTACTAATAAGAGCAGAGAAGGGCAGCGGATGGATGAATGTGGCTGGCTGGACTATCGGATTTGTGTCGACGTGGGGTGCCTGGACAAAGCCGGAGCTGGCGCGGGGCGACGTGGTAGAGTGTATTTTCAGGAGCAGCAGCCTGCCAATGGGGGGACGGGCGTGTTTCTGACGGAAGAGGGCCTCGGATTCCGCTGAATTGGGCAACTGGGTTCCTGCATCCCCGGTCCAGGCCCCGGATGGCAATATCATCATAGTACGATCTTGTTGTATGTGGTCGTAGTAGGTTGGGTGGTGGTGCGGTGCCGGCTTCGGCATGACAGTATGGGGTTGGGGTGAAGTGATATGCGGTCGATGCATAGCTTCGCAGCGTCGTCGTCGTGCTAATATTCACGCCAAAGTTTCCTTTCGAAATGAAAATTTTAGCACGTTTCGCGTGCACAAAAATAAAACTGTGCAAATTAGTAGCAGTTCGTCCATCTCGAATTAGTCCACTTTGCATTGCTCCGACAACATTTTTTAGACAAGCATGGTTCTGACAAGTAGCGGCTACTTCCGAAATACCCAAGCTTCCGAGGGCAGGTGAGGAAAAAAGCGGGTGTCCATATCCGGATGGAGTGGCTGAGGTCACATAGTGCGTGTCGCAAGCGAGCGTTGCGAAACTGGGCCGGGCACGAAACCCATGAGCGGTACGTGACGGCGACATGGCGCATGGCGGGGAGCAGGCCAGGGACCCTCGATGCTCGATCGACCCCGCGGCCAGCTCAGTGCATCCCAGCGCGATTGCGCTTGCGCGGTGGCCCAAACCCGGGCGGAGCTCGCGAATCCCGTGAGCTAGCGAGCGCGGCGAGCACGACGGCCGGTGCGCGTCCGCGCGCACCAACGGCATCGCCGCGACGCCACCAAGAACACTTTACAGTTTACAGTCGGCCGGCTCCACGTAGACACTACGCGTGGCGGGAGCGGGCGGCGCACGTGGTGTACCGGCCGGCGTCATGGTGGACGGTGACATGGGTGAGGAGTGCGAGGACGGAGGAGGGATATGGGTGCCGGTTTCTTTCTTTCCTTGCAACTTTTCTTTAATTAAACGATATAATATCGGCGATGGAATTAAAGGCACTGGCTCACCGACTAGACAATTGGCTGGTGTTGGGCGATCCGTGGAGCTTTCATTGTGGCGTCCCCAGCTGTGATTGCCTTGACGCGCCCGTCCTGCTGCCGACTGGGCGTGGACGGCAAGGACCGACCAGACCTGGCCGTTACGGCCGTTTCCCGCGGAACCTGGGCACGCGCGGCGCGGGTGCATGTGGCCGTATGCAGCGGGCGCTCCACAGGTGTGCTGGTACTCCTACTTTCAGCACGGGAAAATGCACGGGTTTTTGGGCGGTGGCCGACGTATCGGGGTAAAATCTGCGGTTTGGTCCTCGCCCTAGCAGCTTAGATTTGGACTTGGATCTCACTGGACTGGATCCTCGTATCCTGTATTCTGAATAACGACGCTGGTCGAGGTATATTTGTCGGTGTGTATACATGTGTGGGCCACACCATACGTGTATGACGTACGTATATACCTCGACCACGTAGCCAAAGCTTCGGCACTCATTTCCTGCGCAATTTTTGTTGTTAGCGCATGTCCCATGTTCTGGCTGGCGTTTCCATCTTGCCGCCACAGAAACTCCGTCCTCCTCAAAGAAAAAACCACAAAAGTTCCAACTTGTCAGACCGTTTGCACAAAAGTAGAGTTGGGTCGGATGCTGCAGCAACCTAACTAATAACTAAACCAAAGCTTCTAATACAGCTGAGCAACTAAATCTTCCAATTGTTGAATATAAGAAGCTAGCTTGCGCAACTGTCCAAAGCATAGCATTGGACAGGGCAGCCGTTTAGCAGAGAATGGACAGGAACAGAAGATGCTTTGCTGGCGAGGGCAGGCAGCCACAGCTACCATGCCGTCCAATTATTGGCAACGGCCAGGATTGTCGCGTTACAACCAAGTGGATCTTACTTGGGCGCTCTCCGTTACGTCGTCCCCACGTACGAACCTGAAGTAATCATCAGGATTATACAAAAGCCTACTTGTTTTTGTTACCATACTTCCTATGTTCCATAACGTAGTGCGTATAGATTAAAAAAAATTAAACGGGATATCTCGTGCTCCCGACGCCCGAGTCGCCTAGCTCAGGCGACACGGGGGAACCTAGTGCCGCCGCTGCAAAGCCATCCTTTCCCCACTCCCGCGTATCGCCGCCGGCGGAGGGCCCGCCGGCGAAGCCCGCGAGTGCCCCAGGGAGGGTGGCAGTGGGGCGTTTTCTCCTCTTCCGCGGCGTAGCGCGCGCGGCGGCTGCGTTTTCTTGGAGGCGGGGGCGGCCGGCGGGGTTGCGGGGCGGCGTCTGCGCGGGTATTGGCTGGATCCGTTCCGGGCTTGGCCAGATCTCGCTTCTGTTGAAAATATGCCCTAGGGGCAATAATAAAATGGTTATTATTATATTTCTTTGTTCACGATAATTGTCTATTGTTCATGCTATAATTGTATTGATGGGAGACCGTAATACATGTGTGAATACGTAGACCACACCATGTCCCTAGTGAGCCTCTAGTTGACTAGCTCGTTGATCAACAGATGGTCATGGTTTCCTGACTATGGACATTGGATGTCATTGATAACGGGATCACATCATTAGGGGAATGATGTGATGGACAAGACTCAATCCTAAGTATAGCACAAGATCGTGTAGTTTGTTTGCTAGAGCTTTTCTAATGTCAAGTATCATTTCCTTAGACCATGAGATTGTGTAACTCCCGGATACCGTAGGAGTGCTTTGGGTGTACCAAACGTCACAACGTAACTGGGTGACTATAAAGGTGCTCTACAGGTATCTCTGAAAGTGACTGTTGGGTTGGCACGAATCGAGACTGGGATTTGTCACTCCGTGTGACGGAGAGGTATCTCTAGGCCCACTCGGTAATGCATCATCATAATGAGCTCAATGTGACTAAGTAGTTAGTCACGGGATCATGCATTACGGAACGAGTAAAGTGACTTACCGGTAACGAGATTGAACGAGGTATTGGGATACCGACGATCGAATCTCGGGCAAGTAACGTACCGATTGACAAAGGGAATTGTATACGGGATTACTTGAATCCTCGACATCGTGGTTCATCCGATGAGATCATCGTGGAACATGTGGGAGCCAACATGGGTATCCAGATCCCGATGTTGGTTATTGGCCGGAGAGCTGTCTCGGTCATGTCTGCGTGATTCTCGAACCCGTAGGGTCTACACACTTAAGGTTCGATGACGCTAGGGTTATAAGGAAGATTTGTATATGATTACCGAATGTTGTTCGGAGTCCCGGATGAGATCTCGGATGTCACGAGGAGTTCCGGAATGGTCCGGAGGTGAAGATTTATATATGGGAAGTTGTCATAGGGTCACCGAAAATATTCGGGGGCATACCGGTATTGTACCGGGGCCACCGTAGGGGTTCCAGGGGTCCACCGGGAGGGGCCACCTGTCCCGGAGGGCCTCATGGGCTATAGAGGTAAGGGAACCAACCCCTAAGAGGGCTGGGCGCCACTCCCCTAGGGCCCATGCGCCTAGGGTTGGGGGAACCCTAAAGGGGGCGCCCCCTTGCTTAGGGGGCAATCCCCCTCCCCTTGGCCGCCCCCCCTCTAGATCTCATCTAGAGGGGGTCGGCCCCCTTCCCCCTTCTCCCTATAAATAGAGGGGTGAGGGTAGGGCTGCAACAACACATCCAAGGCGCAGCCCCTCCCCTCCCCAACACCTCTCCTCCTCCGCAAGAGCTTGGAGAAGCCCTGCCGGAGAACTGCCACTCCATCACCACCACGCCGTCGTGCTGCTGTTGGAGCCTTCTTCGTCAACCTCTCCCTCCTCCTTGCTGGATCAAGGCGCGGGAGACGTCACCGGGTTGCACATATGTTGAGCACGGAGGCACCGTTGTTCGGTGCTTAGAGCGGATTCGGACGCGATCTGAATCACTACGTGTACGACTCCTCCAACCGCGTTCTTGCAACGCTTCCGACTCACAATCTTCAAGGGTATGAAGATACACTCCCTTCTCTCTCGTTGCTAGTTACTCCATAGATTGATCTTGGTGATGCGTAGAAATTTTTTAATTTCTGCTACGATCCCCAACAGCTTCTCCGCCCTCGGTGGCTGCGGCCAAGTGGTGCGTGAAGCGTTGGCAGGCCGGTGCTTGGCGGCTCCATGGTGGAGTTGACTGCAGCGGGCGGTGTGCGTCGATGACGTGGTGCTTGGCGTCTCCATGGTGCAGTACTGAGCTCTGGCGGGCATCGAGGGCTGGCATCCGGGCCGGCGGCTCCGGGAAGGTGGTTGACGTGTCGGCCGCTGGAGTTTGCGTGGGTGACGTGGTGGCCGCGGTGTGCTGGTGGTGGGAGGCTCGTCCTTCCTGTCTAGGCACCTCGGCGACAGCGGTTCTTCGGTGGGTCACAGCTCTGGCAGCTCGGGTTGTTGCGTCTGCGTTCTGCGTGGGCTCTGGACCGCCGAATCTGGCCGGCGAGAAGTTGCGGGGTGGCAGTATGCCCTTTCCTGCCCGGAGGGTGGTTTGCCATGGTTGGTTCGACAAAAAGGCATGGTGGTGCTCCCTGCACGGTCATGGCATTGTTGTTGTGCAGGGGTGCGCGGGTCAGTGGAGTTGCTGGCGTGGGAGTGGTGGTGTCGATGATCTGAGCAAAAGCTTGGCCGGTTCTTGCCGGCCGCCGCCGGCGGCGCCCGTGGGCGTCGCTTTCTTCCTTGGAGGCGCCGTCGAGGTGATTTGGGTATCCTTCGCTCTTAGGTCAAGATCTTCGGGCGAAAGTCATGATCCTGGTTGGATCAGGTGGCGGCGGCGTATT